ACTATAACCTAAAGATGAACATACACATAAAGCCATATGCAGAATGCAAGACAGCTTTTTGGCTACTGCAGTATTGGTCTTATGCAACAGACCTTTTGCTTTCTGTCATTTTAAATTCTGCTCTCTCTTCAGTTGTGATCTCCTTCAATTGTTCTCTATTGTCTCTAAAAATAACAGTATAATTATTACGAGAGCAATTTTATTATATGTGTACTTGTAATAAATGACATCTCCATCAGCATCATACAGTGATGCTTGATTCCATTCCAACTCATTCTTAATATCAAGACGTGATATCTGAGCTGGAAATGATCTCAAATACTTTTAAAGGAAAAATAACTGGCTGATAGTGAAATGTCAATTGCTAATTGTTGCAACAGAAATGGCATCAACAGAAACTCCACTTAACTCTGAAAACTAAAGGAAAAAGTTACATAGCATTATTTTAGAATCACTTCTTCTGTTGGATCAACTGAAAATTCTGATGGACACCATCTTCTAACATACACCTGCATGCATCTGTGTTGGGAGCTTCATCTTTTCAGGTTCTATTAGAGTATGGGAATAATACCCTCATTATTTAAAATACTGACCTTTCAGTATTTCCAAATACATTTCACTACCAGCATATATATGAATATCTCTCAATCAATTGATGATCAAGATACACTCTACCAGGTGACCTTCAATTCTTCTTTAGTAATCTCTTTCTACACATTAAGTCAAATGATAGTCGCATGATATACTTACTTGTCTAATTCAAGGACACCATTGTCAATTCTTTGTACTCTTGCTTCTTCAATAATTTGTTTCTTAAATTCTCTCACTCGTGTATTCTTAGCAACAATTGACTTCATCATTAGATTAAAGAGAACTGAATTAAAGTGGGAACAAAATTATATATCATTATAGCAAAATTGCTATTTACATAACCTCTGTATTAACAGTAATAAAAATAATTTAATTCTGTACTCTCCTACTTGTAATGCCCTAGACAGTCTTTCTACAAATTATAAGGAAGAGAAAAGATCACAATTGAGTGGAGTAGAATATTTACTTTTGATTCAGTAGGTACATGTATGCCCATTAATGAGTCAGTATTTTATATTCCTGCTGGTCATATACACCCTATACACTCTAAAACCAGTAGGTAGTTTTCCAAATTGCAAGACTAATATTGCTAATAAGGGGCATTGGATGCCTTTTCATATTCTGGCAAAACTGAATCCCAGAATGTTTGATAAATTGTGTAAAGATAAAATAATTGACTTGAATGTTACTGACACCACTACATGTTCTCTGTTATTCTCAATTTGCAGCATTTTTGGATTTTGCAAATGTTGATGACAATAGCTATAACTCATATGGATTAGCTAATTTTTTCATTTCTAATATAGCAGGAAATACAGCACTTCATACAGCTTACATTTATAATTGCGCCTATTATGGTCATGTTTTTCGAAGTTAATGCCAAATGTCAATATACAGATCAAAAATGGCGAGACCCCTTTTCATTGTCTTTATAAAAGTAGTGATGATGAGACTACAGATGAGGCTACACTTTTATTTAGTAAGTGTTGAAAATTTTAGTAAATCACGTTTCTTTTAATCCAAATATTCAAATGCCTGTGGTATGACAATCTTGCACTTTGAGTGTCAAAAGTCAAAACCAGATTTTGTCCTCATAAAACATTTGTTAAGTCATGATGCTGCCATTACCAAGCTAAGGAACCATCAAAATCAGACTTGCATTTTAGTAGCAGAATCCAGTAACTGTGAAGAAAAATCTTATTTATTGGGTTTATTGAAAACTCAGGTCAGATAATGATTTTTTAGGTTTATATGATTTTTATAAAAGGTGCAACTGTTGTTTTTTCT